GGAGGCGTGCCATCAGCGAAAAGAGGGAGTTTCAAGCTACCAGGAGACTGTCCACTGTGAAGAACTACCCATGTGCTGGTAAGCGAAGAAAGTCCTTCTCAGCAATTGAGTAGTGCTCGTGGCGCGAATTAAGCAGATGTGCTAAGCGCGCACGTGCGGGGAGGGAATGCGTGGGAAGCGGTGGTCGGCCGGCATCGGAGGCGTCATCTTCTTTGACAGCCGAGCACTTTACTCTGGAGAACGGAAAGCGTTGGGCGCGCTGACGAATGGGCAGTAGAGTCGCGAACGTCCCTCGCAGAGCAGCATGCTTCACTGTTTTCATCACGGGATCGTGCGACAGCGTGGACATAAAATAGCGTAAGCGGGGAACAAGGCAGAAACATGCGTGCAGGCCTCCAAGTGACTGTTCGTCTGCGGTCAAACCTGTGCCGCTCGGGCAATCAGAATACGTACCTGCCTTCGAATGTTCCTGGACGTGCCAACAGCGATACCCGTATGAGAATTCTATGAAGTGCCCGATTCGTTCTGCTTCCTGCCTTTGTGTAGCGCAAGATCTGAGACCCCGCTTAGTTCAGAGACAGCGGCAGCCGTGGCAGCACCCGGTAGTTAAGCGGGCTTGCGGGAGCGACAAGGGTCAGGAGGACCCGAGGCACCACATTCGCATCTCCCCTTGTTCAGAAGCAGTGCACTTCGTTCCCCTGCAAGTCTAGCTTGAAAAGCAACCTCGCAATGACCTAGTTAGCAGGCGTGTTCAGCTACGCTGCTCAAGCTGATTTCATGCGACCTTACCTGCGATCGACAGCGGGGGCGAGGTGGCATCCAATGGAAAACAGACACACTGCTCCGACACATTCTGAGGTGGTAAGGCGTCGCTGTGTCTTGTGTTTGGCCTTTAGTGAGATACTTTTTTTCCCTGTGTTCATCGATCACCTGAAGCAAGTGCTCACAGTGTCAAATTCAAGACATACATACTGCTACGCGACATCGGAAGGCGGTATGGCACTGTGTTGTGCAGTTGAGCATACATGGTATACCGTCTTTCCCGGGGCTTGTTTATCTTCCCCAGAGCAGGTACTCACAGTGTCAGACGTCCTCGAGGGTTTCCTCTCCAATTTTTGGGTGAAGCGAGACAACGCTGAGCTGGAAAGAGCCGTGGACGGTGCGTACATGGAGGCGCAGATGCTATTCGAAGAAGGCAAAGGAGCTGAAGCCCTCAAGAACGCTCTTCTTGTAGGTGAACACAAGTTTCGGCTCTACCAGTAGTGCTACCTGAAGCACGACAAAGCCTGGGTATTCTGTACTTCATTGTCGATTCGAGTGCGTACGGCAGATAGAGATCACAGGGGACATGCACGCACGCGTCGTCTCTCAACAGGAGGAGCTGCTTCGTGTACAGAATAAGGCAAGCAGTCGTGTAAAGCAGAGCAACCCGCGGTCGTAACGCACAACGTACAGCTTACGCTGTTCCAGGCCTGCGTCCCCAGAGGACACGCGCATTCAGGCAGGGGTGTCGCAAAGCTTTGCCTTCACGACAACCACGGATGATATGGTCTACTCCTTGGCGTCGAGGGGCTGTTTACGTGCTCAAGAGATCTTTCGCGGGGATCAGTTCCATTCAATCCCGGATGCTGGCATAGCGTCAGCCGTTCCGGGTTATTCTCTTCCTGAGAGGATCTTTATCGCAGAATGCTTCCGACTATTCCGTTTTGCGGCAGCGGCACTGCTCAAGATCCGTATGGGCTTGGGCGGCGCAATCAGAAGCACGCAGTGTGAACTCTCCACTACGCTTTATGAAGTCACTCGATACTCTAGTCCTAAAGCAACGTTGTAATGCCCCGGGGGTCTGCAGCTGCGGGTTTGTCAGCGTACGCATATACATGTACATATATATTTGTTGTGAGCTGCTTCCCCAGCGCTGCCGACGCTCCTCGAACTGCTTACGAGTACGGGAAATAAGAGCGCTGACGCTTGCTTCTAACGATGCTCAGGCCCTCCGACTCTCCAGATGCTTAGAACATCCAAGCGCAGAAGATGCTGAAAGCGAGAAGTCAGAAAAAACAGCCGGAGAGACAGTGCTTCCAGGCCCCCCCGCCAGGTTAGTAGGCGCTTGTTTTGACCTCAAATTTCCTGGACTGCTTTAACCACGTACCAGGTGATGACTCAACTGATAAAACTGCACTACAAACGCAGGCTATCCTAGAGGCTCTCTCCTACAAGCTGCAGCTTCTCGATGTGCCGAGACCTGGCGAATTCTAGGCTGAGGGCGCTGCCCGCCTGTTGCAGAATGGTGCCAGAACAGAAAGCATGTACATCCTCATGGATCTGAGTGCAGGCTTTTAGCGCAAGCCGCTACTACCTTTGGTCTTGCGACAGAAACCCGTAGTGCTTTCAATCATACACATACTGTTAGTATCACCACCACTACTACTGTAAGCGCCACCAATACTATTGCTATCAGTACTGGTGCCACTACAGCTGCAGCCGGAAGGGGCACTGAGTTGTCGCGCAGACGTGCAAAACCTTGCGCAGAAGCTGAATCATCTGATGGCTTATTTTACGAATCTACATAGTCATCGGAGTGCTGCCACATACACGTGCAGAGATACGTATGAAGCGCGGTACAGGTAGATATTCTCAGACCTGTCGAGGACTTGGCGCTCCGCCACAGCTGCTTTGACGTCCCGTGTAGCCCAGCACGCGAAATACTGTGATTCTCTTTCGCATCTGATTGCTTTGCACAAAATGCGAGCAGCGATGGGGACATCTTCTCCCTTTTCTTCCCCCCGTCTCCTTCCCTGAAGATAACTGCCCCAACAGTTCGTACCATATGCCTCCAATCCCAACGAACTGATCCAAAGCCAGCCGCAACGCCAGCCGAGCAGCCATGAACGGCTAGAGCTTCTAAAGTTTTGACGAAGAGGGGAAGATTCGTGTGCCGCCCAAACATACTACGTACAGCGAAAGATTCTAGTTGTACGTCCGCTTAGGTTCCTGGACATATGTGTGCTTTGAGGGGGGACCATGCAGAAGGAAGCGGCACCAGCGGGCAACCACTCAAATGTAGAACTGCAAAGTTGGCGCCATGCGCAGTAGGCGGTTCCCGTTGCTCGCCCTTCACAGCGAACCGTCCTGTGCATGTGGCAAAGCCGGGAAAGATTCACGTGCCCCCCAAGCATACGACGTACACCGAAAGATGTTATTTTGACGTCTGCTTAGATCCCGGGACATACGTGTGCTTCTGAGGCGAGGCGATCCAGAATTAACCGGCACCTACCGCAACCACTTGAATGCAGAAATGCAAAGTAGGCGCCGTGCGGTGCTCAATGAGTGTAGGACGTCTCTGTTGCTCACCCTTCACAGGGAACCATCCTGCGCATGTGGCAAAAGCCGGCGCCAAGAACGTGAAGTGGAAACAGCCACCTTTTGTTTTCGGGGAAGTCTTCCCCCCTCAGTCCCTCTAACTGAAGCGGCACCCTATGACCTATGTGCGCCGGGGACGCAACTTGGGTGATTCGTCCACGTAGCCTTCCGTACCCGGCGATTTATTCTGCTTACACTGTGGTGGACGGTGAGTCTAGTTCCGGTGCAGAGACGGAGAAGAGAAATTCCCGATCAGAAAAATACGTGCAGACATTACTGTAAAACCTGGCCACCTTATACGCAGAAAGGGTTGAGCTTCAAGTGCACTTGATTCGGAAGACTACACAATTGCTTACAAGAACTGCAATACAGCTGTATGCGCAATCATAACAAAGTCACTCCACATCCGCTGAACGAAACAAGCACCTCTTTGGTGGCTGTTCCACACAGGTAAGAAAAACGATCCGCCACATCATTAAGGTACGCATGATAGTCCCGGACGTATCGAACTGCGCGCGAGTGCGCGTCCTCCCCTTACCTTCCCCCACCCACGTTGATGAAAACAGAGCCGCCCAGCGAAGAGCACGAAGGTGACTGGAGCGCTGACGGTGTCGCTGTCGTCCTGCTCACTGCGTCCTTGCGTGGCTCCGTACTCCCTCTCTGTGTAAGGTAAGGCCGTTAGAGAGAGACTTGTGCGCCTGAAGACCGCATCGCGCCTCGACCGGTCTTGAACAGGGCCAAAGGACATCCCGGCGTCAATCGCTTCACGGGATTGAGTCGTTTCAGCGACAGGGTGCCAAGCATCGACTGCATCTGCGTGGAGGATCCATGCGTGCAGACTGACACGCGTTGCGCATGGTTCTTCCACTACACGAATTGACCATAACGCGCACCGCAGAACGCAGCGAAGGCTTCACCGTAGAGTGACGGCGGACGTCGCCTTGTCCACCCGTTCTTCGCGGTAGGCCCCGGGGCTAGCCTCGGAGCAACAAAGTTTGAAGGATGGCAGGGACGCAGTGCGGTCTCAGCTTCTCGGTTATAGTTGGTTCCCCAGTGTTGGAGAGGCTGCAACCACGTTATCTACAACGCACCGGCTGCCGGTGAAGGCATACGCAGGAGACTCAGGCCTGACTACAGGCACCTACAGACCGAAGGCCCGTGCAATTATCCTGAGCTCCGGTTCCACGCGCGTCTACCTAGAGAGCGTCGTGTACGTTGTCTATCCCCTTTCATTACTTACGTTCCTTACTCCTTCTTGTGCATGAACGCGAACGCAAGCCTTACTGCTGACCGCAGTGTCTTCACTGTCCGTTTTTGTTACAAGGGACAAGCACCTAGGCTTACAGTACCGCCAGTGATCCCTTTCATAGGCGCTGCCGGCTCCGCCGGCCAACGCGGTCTTTAGTGTGTAGAGCATGCCTAGCGAAAGTGGTTATTTACCGTTGCTGTGACGTATCACTAGCATTTTTGATGCATTTGTGACCTTCTGAGCAAGAAACGTTCACGTGGATGTTTTGAGCCCGCCTACGTAGTAGGACTTCTGCGTGTTCACGAGCAGCGTCTACTGCACTTTATCGGCTCCGCCACCGTCACCTCCCTGTTATTAGGCTTCGCAACGTCGTCAGAAATTCCCCGCCTTCAACGCTAACAGCCCCCGCCTACGTTGTACGCAGCCTTCATACCGAACAGTGCACCTCCTGCGTAGTATCAGTGGGATCTTCTCCTCTCGAAGCGTCCATCGACTTTATCTCCAGTTGCTCCCGGCGCCTTCTTCCGCGTGCTAACGCCTTCTCACAGGACGCTGCGTTGTGCAAATGCCTCGATGCAAGGAGCGCGTTTTCAACGCTTTTACTGCGTTGCACTCTTCCGCGGTCCAGACGCGACGTAGCGTTTCCGACAGGCTAGCAAGGTCCCTCGTGTACAGATGCAGATAGAAATACAGGTATATACATACATATGTATATATGAGTCGACTGTGCAGCTCGTGCAGCTCAACAACGCGCTGGTATAACGGAGCTGATGCATTTTTCCCGTTGGCGTTACTGTTCTTTTAAGTGGCTGTCTTGACGGGAACCCCCGAACGGCACAGTTGGCGTGTTCAAGGAGACTACGAGACCGGCGGCCCTCCTGCACCAGGGGTAACCTCCCGTGGCTTGATGCACGACGACACTTGCTTTTATTTTGACGCTTGGCTCAGATGGGGCCGGCGTCTCCATGCCCACGTACGAACGCTACCGCCCTCTACTGAAGACGGGCACAATGCCACAATAATGCCAGGCGCAATCACGATTCCGAATGTGACTCGCTGTACGCCGCTGCGCGTGCTTTCCTGAGTGCTTTGTGTAGGGATTTATCTCTATACATTGCTGCTGTGATATCCGCCCCCCCCACGAATTGTCCACTGATATACAGCCTGAGGGATTGTAGGCCATTCTGAATTGCACTTTGACCCCTTCTCGAATGAGGTCGTCCTCCAACACGTCGACGAAGCGGAAGAATGCGGGATCAGACAGCAAGGAATCAGGAGGAGGGGACTGCGGCGCTGGCAGCGCAGCCGCAGGTGTTCTCGGAGCAGACTCGTTTTCCGCGTTTTCTTCGGGTGGTTGCAAGTTGCTCTTATTAAGATTACAGGCAGCCTAGTGAGAAGACATACAAATAGAATAACACGGCGACACCTATATACACGGTGTCACCACAAGTAAGCGTACACACACTCAACCACGTAAGAAGTTCCCGTCTTCCCCTCGTGGACACACGCCAGAAGAGGTGATATCTGGTGGACGCACTAAAAAGCTGCTGCTTGATTGTCTGCTGCCAAGAGACAGAAGGCACTGTTTAGTGCTGCACTCGTATGCACCGAAACAGCCACCTTGTACCGGTTTACATGGAGACGCGGTTAGTAGCAGCAGCAACGAATCGCAGGCGTAGATGTATGCATACATATATGTATATATGTATATCTATATATCTATATATATATATATATATATATATTGTTGCCGACGGATATTCCGCCGCGCGGGAGACTGAGACTCTACGTTGTTAGAAGACGTACGTACGATGCGATATACGTGGTAAAACGAAGTCTTATTACAGCCATACTGCACAGGTACCTGTAACAGGTGCATATTCCAGCCGAGGGAGAACAGAGTGTCTCACCCCCGGTTCCAGGTGAGCTTCTCAGAGAGCGTTCCCGAGCAACTGTGAACAATGTGTTTTACAGAGTCCTTATGTGAAGCACGCGTCCGTACGCAGCGTAAAAACTGCTGTTCGGCTTCGCCGATGCTACGCATTTCCTGTGTGCTCCACAATCGAGAGGTAACCCCATCAAACTCTAATTCTGCGGCGGCAAGTGCGTGCCGCACGCACATGGTCGTGCTCGCGCTGCACGAAAACCGGAAGGGGGCGTATTACTGAGCGGCTTGTGGGACGGACGAGAAACACATGTCGAGGTTGGCAGCCTACGACTTGTTTTTGATATGAGCGTAACACCGGAAGGGGCTTGTATATACAGACATAGGCATGCATGTACATAGACATTTACTGCGCCGGAAGGGAGTGTACTACTCGGCGGCTTGTGGGACTGATGAGGAACAGAAATAGAGACTGACAGCCTACAAGGTGACCGTGTGCGTAACCATCAGCAGTGCGCGTAGGCGTTTCCAGTTCTCACGTGAAGGCATCACAGAGAGCCGGAGCGCGTGGCTACAGGCGGACCCATCCCACGTGACACTGACAATGTGACATCCTCACCAGCGCCAGTAGCTCGTACGTCATGCGGCTGAAACCACATGCAGGATTCGCGGGCGTGCCTTTCATAAAAAGCACTACTGGAGTAGACTGTACTAACGCAGCAATATATCTCATCTTCTCCTTGAGTTCGTCAGACTGCTTTGCGTGCGCATCTGCCGAACGCCGCCAGGAGTGAGCAGCGACCGAAGCGACGAAGATGGCTGGAGGCGACCCGAGGGGGACGAGGCAACACAAGACGAGGTGGAAGGAGCCAGAGCAGAGCCACAACAAAAGGGGAGACATACGGGAGAGGGATTGAATAAGGGCAAGTGAGACGACGCCGTCGATGACAAGGGTGAAGAGGAACCCGGCGAAACGAGTAGCGAAGCTGCTGGCGAGGTGGAAGCAGGCGAGGCGATGATGCCAGTATAACCTAATGGAGAGAGAAGGGGCGGGTGAAATTCAGTGGACTTGAAGGAAGCAGAGGTTTTACGCGGTTGACGAGCAGAGTGAAGCGGGAGGCGAGAGGTGCAGGAGCACAGTATAGCAGAAGGTGAATTTGAGGAAGAAAAGGAAGAGAAGACAGAGGGAAAGAAAGGTAAGCCAGTGACGCAGGGGTAAGTGAAAGACTTGACTCCACCGTAGAACACAGTCCTTTATCCTGTGATATACAGAATCGGCCGTGCGGGTAGGCTGCCGATTGCTGTTGTACCGTAGCAGGACGGAAGTGGCCTTCCCATAGTTGCAGATACAAATTAGGGCCAGCAGTGGCAGGCCGACGCGGCGTCCGTATAACAGGGAGAAACGGACAGAGGAGAGAGCGAGTGTAACGGAGCGTGCGGAGGCGCACATAGTCGCAGAAGCAGACACACGCATTGGTAGTGTATGGGTTTGAGTTGTGCCGTCTGCAGAAAAGCGAGGGGCCGTAGCCGCTGCTGCTGAAGTCTTCGCCACACTTAAACTACCTTTCCTAGTGGTGCCGCCGGCTTTCAGACTTCCAGCTCCGCGGCTACCTCTCCTACTTCGTCTGTGTGGCCTGTCGTGCGGAAACCCATTTGGAGGCAGGGCAAGCAACACGCCGCACTGCTGACCCAGTCGCGGGCTCTGCGGTGCGAGGGAAGTTCAGGCCAGAAGACAGGGTAACGATGTATCCCCTCTTCGTATAAAGCAGGGCAGAATAAACGCAGTCTCCTGCGTTTTGTCCCGGTACGTGCACTACTTCTGCCGGCGTGAGAAGCAACATGAATCCCAGGGAGAACTCTGACGCCACGACGGCGAGAATCAATCTCTGGACTTTTCGTTTTACAGGGGTGAGGATTAATAGAGTCAGGTTGTAGAACTGAAATTTTGGTCAACTGATAGGTCTTCATCATCATCAGTCCCCCGCGCCATCGCAGGACTACCGGTATATCTGCTAGCTCGATACACTTTGCTGCCTTTGTGGCTATCACGTACGGCTATGCTCCCGCCTGTCCTTCGTGCACGTGTGTTGTCACGGCGTAGTGCTCTCAAAGCGGAATGTTCTTCTCTAAGCGAGCACCTCCTCTTTTCTTTATAAGCAGCGGGTGCCGTTGCCTGCTCAGCGCCTGAGTTAATTCTACACTTCTGTGGAGAACCATCACCTACAGCGGTAACTACTGATCCTATTTTGTCGCGCAGCATTGGTACTAGATGGTCGTCCTTAAGATGTTCACCTTGCTGGTGTAGGGGAGTATGCGCAGGAAGGTATTGTGAAGCGAGGTATTGCGTGTGTGGAAAAGGAACATACGTCACCTATTACAACGGCAGCAGAAAGCGTCCCTGTTCCCGTGGTAATGGCTGCAATGCACCACAGCAGAAGCTCCGTCCTTGCAGCGTTCATCCTGAGAAAAAGAACCTGCACAGCAAGCGAGTTTAGCAGAGAAGCTGCGGCTGCATACTAACGGGTAGATGAGGGACAGCAGCTGCTGCGCGGTGCACGTGACCCACGGCTGCAGCACAAGAGCAACAAGTAGTTCGCAAGAGGAGCGGAGTCTGTTGCAGGATGGAGGAGGAACATCGGTACAGAGCAGCAACGGCACTAGCACCGCCACAGCACCCCCTACAGCAAGCGCAGCATTTCTGCAGCTCCAGCTCTAATTGTCGCAAAGGAATGCGACCAGCACGTGGCAACAACGGCGCAAGAAGGCAGACCTGTCACGAATCTCCCCCTAGGGTGCCAGCCGCCAAGGGGACAACATTGAAGAGAGTAAAGGAAGAACCTGCCTTCACCCCGAACCAGGCACAAAGAAGATAACACTTGGGAGAATAAACGAAGAATCTGTCCCCACCCCCAATCTGAACAAGTAGGCTCTCTCACCCTCCAGCAGTATCGTGTCGGCCTCTATTCACGTGGCCATCACTCACCTTGCCGGTCGCAGACGAGTAATTAGGAGACGTATGGAACATTGTAGGGGGCGACTTCTTGTCTCGTCGTATTCACTTCAGCAGGCGACGTCTCTACGTTCCTACAGACGATATCTCGTGAGAGAAATGTGGCCTTTTCTCTCAGAGCGGGACGCACCGTTTTCGGTGGGCAAGCTGGTATCCACTGTAGATACACTCGGGTACAAACTGAACAAACGCAACACAAAGCCAGTGCATCGGACACTCATCTTCTCCTCCTCTTTCTTCTTCTTTTTCTTCTCCTTCTCCTCCGTTTTCTTATTACTATTATTGGTAGTATTGTAGTAGTAGTACTAGCATCAATTATAGCTCACGGTCTTTGCATTTAGCTACCAAAAAAGAGGCTAGTCTTCACCTTGTTCACGAAAAGAGAATCTACCTCCTCACTTGCCTGTTCGAAAGACCGCAGGGAACAATAACCTTTCACTAGCGGCACGATAAGATGAACGACGTATAAGAAGAGGAGCACCAGCGACTGCAAGCGCGCGGGCGTTGATACTCCTGCCAAACGTCTATGCAAGAGCTTACGAGGTTTTCGCACACACCCACGAGAATATGTTTGGTAAGCCGTGTCGGCCCGGCCGCGCACTGATTGATCTTCAACATACATCGTTGATTGGATTTTTTTTTCCCCTTGTGCGTACATAGATATACGCATGCATACGTACAAACATATATATATATATAGATACAGATACATATATATACATATATATGTATGTAAAGAGGTAACCGGTGAGAGAAGTGAGACGTCATTTATAGAGAGTGTGTCGACCGCCTTTCCGAACCAAAACGCTGCGCAGAACGGTAAGCGACAGCTTCACCGCGTATATCTTAGACATGCACAGAGGCGGACGCCACCTTCATCGCGTATACTCAAAATAGTACGGAGAGAACAATCTATAGTGAAGCAGCAGTGAAATATTCACAACAGCGTTTGCGAAATTGAGACAGGAGCCTAGCCGTCAGGCGTCAACGCAGATTGCATGGCAGCAACGCCGACGGCACGGCGTCCCGGGGGCGCACAGAGCGGAGTTTATACGTAAGACAGCACATGAAGAACCGCGGTAAGGAAGAAGAAGAGAAAGTGAGAACGAGAGAAGGCGAGGGGAGAGAGGCGAATTCTACGCTGCACGTAAAGAACCCCTGAGTATGGAAGGTGGAGAGAAAACGAGTCCGAGAGAAGGGGAGCGAGGAGAAGCGGCGAGGCTTGTGCCAGAGGCACCGAAGTAACGGAGGAGGAGACAAAACGCAAACAAGAGACGACTAGCGAGGAGGTTCGGAGAGTTCTAAGCCAGAGGCACTCTTGAGACTTAGCAACTACTAAGTCCCCAAGATGTACCACATCTTGAAGTCTGAAGAAGTCCATAACTTAGCTTCTGCTACTGTTAGAATAGTGCGTGCCTGAGGCGCTGCAGGCTCCGCTACCGCAGGGTCCCGTAACCCGAGTTCAAGACATGTAGGTGGTTTTGGAGAGATAAAACTCGAGATGCTTATAACATAGATCACAAAGGCCGCTAATGGGGGGGAGTATAAGATCACGTGAGTGATTTTGAAGAGGCAGAAGTGGAGATGATTCCGATTCACGTCCTGTAGGCACGTCAGTGCTTTTTAAGCGGTAGAATTCGAGATGATTGTGAGAGCCCTCACGTATGCCGCCAGTGGGGCGGGGTGAAGGCCACGTAAGCGGCTTTAGAGAGACAGAAAGAGGCATAGATCGTGTAGGCCGCTACTGGCGGTGGGTAAAGACCACGTAAGTGATTTTAAAGAGATAGAAGGCAAGAGGGTGGTGACATAGACCGTGTAATCCGCAAGTGTTGGCGGCTTCGCGCGCAACGGTCTCGGACAGCGTAACAATTTGCAGACAAGCTTCCGGTTGACATGCTATACTGTGGTGTCGCCGTGCGCCAGCAACGGACGACTATACGTATGCACACAACCTCCCCGACCAGGACGTACAGTAAGTGATCCTAGAGGCATGAAACTCGAGACGATTGTGAGATGGATCTTGGAAGCGGCTAGTGGTAGCGAGTATAAGTTCAATTGTCTGATGATGCAGGGCTCTAGAGTATAGCCGTGCAGACGGGCTTCCGGTGGACATGTTATATTGTGCACCAGCAGCGGACACACGTCCACGTATATATATAAAGCTCTATCCACACATATCTACCGGCCTACGCACATCTGTCGGTCTGCCACAATATATATATACACGTATCTGCGTATGCATATATGTTTAGACCTGCATTTGTGCACGTATGTATGTGCAACTGCGTGTGTGAATACATACATCTACGTATAGACGTCCGACATCTCCTAGAAAAAAAATCCGGCTCATTCATGCCTGTGCGAGCCGTGCTTCAGCCTTATCTATCATTTCTCTTCAGTCATTAGCGGCAAGGGACTAATGTAGAAAGATCAACAGGCTTCTTCGACACAGATACACAAGTGGAGACGCAGGTGTGCAAGAGAGTAAATCAGTCTTAGTTGCTCCTTTTCTTCCATTATCCACCCCACTACATCTGTGTACAATGGTCAACAAGAGCTTTCCAAAAACAACTACATACAAGCAGAGATGAGGAAGCGCAAGAGAGTAGCTCTGCCTTAGCTGTTCGTTCTCTTTATCTATCCACCCGTATCGAGCGACTACACCCTTGCCGTCAAAGAATTAACGAACTCCTGCAGAAAACAAACATTTACAGGAGGTAGAGACGAAGCTGCGCAAGAGAGTAACTCAGCTATGTGCGAAGTAAAAAGTAGCGTACAACGAGCACGCCACATATTATAGGCGCTGGTCTGTGTGGCCTACGTCTTTACCCGGCCTGTGGGTCCTCGCGGCTGAACGGCATGAAGTAGTACTGGGAGACGAATACGTGGAGATCACTCTATAACACACTGCAGTGCTATATGATGATACATACCAACGTGTAGTGCCACATAATAGTAGATAACAAAGTGTAGGGCCACATAGACTTTGGTCTTTTTTTCGCATCCTCCTCTGGAAGCGAAATTATGAAAGTGCCTGTCTATTCCTTATCCGCGTCAATCGGGGAAAATCTGATGAAGATTTCAAAGGGAAAGTATACTCAGGGGTGAAGACATATATATTATATATATAAATATATATATATATATATTTTTGCGTAGCGCTGCCCCCAAAGTTGCAGCTAGGTGCAGGCGTGGAAGAGATACACTCGTGCCTAAATCAACGCGAAGGAGAGACCGACATAGACTTTAATCTTTTTTCCTTAGAAATCTCCAACATGAAGTCTACTCAGGGGTAAAGACGTAGACTTGGGTCTTCTTCCCACTCTCCTCTAAAAGCGAAACTGCCTGTGTGTCTCGTTATTTACATCAATTGTCAGATAATTTTTCAAAATTTGAATTCAGGGCGTACTACTCAGCGGTATAGACGTAGACTTTGCTCTTCTTCCTAACCTCCTCTTGAAGCAAAACTGCGAAAGCGCCTCTGTTACTCCCTACTCTATGAGCTGAAACCCGAAGGTATCGTGTTTCTTCCACATACTACCTGTACTCTTTCATAAGAATTTCTAACGTGAAGCCTCCTGAGGGACAGAGAGGTGTATTTACGAAAGCGCCTCTGTTACTCCTTCCTCTATGAGCTGAATTCGGAAGCTATCGTGTTTCCTCAACATTATACCTGTACTCTTTCATAAGAATTCCTAACGTGAAGCCTACTGAGGGACAGAGAGGTGTATTTTGTTCTTTTTCTCCTGTATAAGCGAAAGTGCCGAAGCGGCCGTGTGTTGCCTTTATGAGCTGAAACTTGCAGGAATCATTTTGCTTCCACATAGTTTCAGAACTATTTCATACGAGAACTCAGAGGTACAGTCTGCTGCCCGCATGAACTGGAAGGTTTTTCATGAGAATTGCTAGCGTAGAAAACTCTACTGAGCGGTAGGTAAATACGTACATATGCATATATATATATATATATATATATATATATGCACATACGTATCACACCCGTATACGTGTGTGTGCGCGAACACGTATGAATATATATGTAGCAGACGTACATAGCATTATGCTTTATATGTATATGCACATTCAAATATACATACCTATACGTGTATGTGCGCGAACGTATATGTATATTTATGTAGGAGAGGTATATAGTATCATGCCGCTGCCCGTGCTCTTTTTGTTGCTGCGCCTTCTCCTGTTGCCCCTGTTGCTGCTGCATCCGATTCAGCTTTTGCATTCTACACGTCGATATACATATATATATATGCACACATATATATATATATATGTATATACATATATATATATATATATATATATATATATATATATATATATATTTGTTGTTCTTACCATCCTCCTCCCCTAGAAGCGGAAAAACTACCCAGGTGGGGGTGCCCGTGTGTCTCCTTCGCAGTCGCGTGGAGTTTGCGTGAAACGTCAACTTTTCTCCTCGTACATTCTTGTGCTCTTCTTTTCACAAGACTTTCGTTCTACGGCAGTCCTACCGGGAAGCCAAGAGACGTCTACTTATTTTCCTTCGCTAAGTCGTTTCCTTCTCATTTCGAAAAAAATGCAGTGTTGCGTTGAGGCGGGGAGTGCTGGGTAGTATCAGCTGTCACCGTATCCAAATATATATATATGTACAGGTATACACATATATGCATATGTATATATATACGTATATACATATATACATATTTACCGATATATTCCGCTCCACTGCAGTCCTACCGGAGAGCCGAGAGGCGTCAATTTACTTTTATTCGCTAAGTCGTTTACTTCTCCCTTTCCAAAAAAGAGAAGGAATTGTTGCCTTGAGGCCGAGCGCGGTGGGTAGTAGTAGTTGTATGACCAGTAGTTGTAGTGTTACTAATAGTAGTACTAGTAGTAGTAGTAGCAGTAGCATTAGCAGTAGCAGTACCATTGGTGGTAGTACAGTAGTAGTAGTGGTATGAGCAGTAGTACTACTACTAGTAGTAGTATCAGTAACAGTATTGATAGCAGTAGCACCAGTAGCAGTAGTATTGATAGAGTGGAAGTATTGAAAGTAGTAGTTGTGGTAGTAGTCGTATTAGTTGTAGTAGTAGAAGTATCATCAGTAGCAGCGGTGGTAGTACTAGTATAAGTATTATTAGTAGTAGTAGTGCGAGTAGTAGTAGTGGTGCTAGTAAGAGTACTAGGATTAGTAGTAGTAGTAGTGGTAGTAGTAGCAGTATTAGTAGTACGAGTACTACTAGTAGTAGTGGTGGCGGTAGTATTAGTAGTAGTAGCCGTACTGGTAGTAGTAGTAGTAGAATCAGTAGTAGTAGTAGTGGTAGTAGTAGTAGTATTAGCAGTAGTAGTAGTGCTAGTAGTAGTAGTAGTAATAGTAGTAGTAGCAGCAGGGGTAGAAGAAGTAGTAATACAACTAGTAGTAGTAGCTGTATGAGCAGTAGCAGTAGTAGTGGTAGCAGTGATATCAGCAGTAGTGGTAGTATCCGTGGTAGTAGCAATATTAGGAGTAGTAACAGTAGTAGTGGTGGTAGTAATATCAGTAGTAGTAGTAGTATTAGTAGTAGTAGTATTAATAGTAGTAGCAGTATTCGTAGGAGTAGCAGTAGTACTGATTATAGTAGTAGTAGTAGTCTTCGTAGGTAGTCGGGTTGGTGTGCGGGTCGTGCACACGGCCATGCGTCCTCCTGTCGCGCATTTCTCGCTGCGGCGCGGCTTCTCTTCGGCGGTGTACCATCTCTCTTTCCCGATTCGATAGGAAGATGATTCATTAAATACATCGAGAATCCATTAAATACATCGATAGACAGACTGCAAAAAAAAAATATTAACTAAATTACCAACTAGATAGGTTTCTCTTTGTTTTATTTCTACATCTTACGCTACTGCGACTACTACTAGTAATGCTGCTACTAGTACCATCATACTACTACTATTACTACCAGCCGTACTACTGATGCGCGTATGGTGTGCATCATATCTTCCATCGTCAAGACCAGCTTAATCTGCCTTTTCTAGTTAATGCTCGGTGGAAAATCGAAGAAAAAACCGGCGTATGTCTTCTTTCTTCCTACTAGTGGCTAAATAGATAGATAGACAACAACTCGATATCTCTTATTGCAGCTTAATCTGCCTTTTCTAGTTAATTCTTGGTGAAAAATCAAAGAAAAACCGGCGTATATCTTCTTCCTTTCTACTAGTGGCTAAATAGATAGATAAACAACAACTTGATACCTCTTATTGCCGCGCATTTGGTGTGAGTCCTCTCTTCCATTGTAAAGACCAGCTCAGTCTGCCTTTTCTGGTTGATTCTTGGTGAATAAACGGAGAAAAGCCGTCGTATGTCTTCTTCCCCTTTACAGATGACTAAATAAGTAGGTGAACAAAAACTTGATACGTCTTATTTCCCTTTTCTTGCCGCACATTCGATGCGCATTATGTCTTTCGTTGTAAAGACCAGCTCAATCTGCTTTCTCTGGTTGTTTTTTAATAAATAGTCGGAGAAAACCCGTTTTATGTCTTCCTTCTTTCTACAAATGACTAAATGAATAGATAAACAGAACTTGCTACGTCCTATCTCTCTTCTCTTGCCGCGCATGTTGTGTGCGTCATAGCTTCCATTGTTAAGACCACGCTAATCTGCGTTTTCTGGTTGACTCTTCATGAATAATTAATAAATAGACCGTCGTGCGTCATCTTTTTTTCTACAAATAGCTAAATAAGTAGATAAACACAGACTTCATACGTCTCATTTCCCTCTTCTTGCCGCGCCCTATCTTCCACTGTTAAGTCCGGGCTACTCTAACTTTTCGAGTTTGTTCTTGACGAATAATAATCAGGGAAAAACCGTCGTCTAGCTTGTTTCTTCCCACAAATGACGAACTGATTAGATTAAACGGCAACGTGATATGTCTTATTTCTTTTTCTTTTCCGCGAAATTCTATCTTTCATGGTTAGCACCAGGTCATCTGCGTTTTTCAGCTAACTATTGATGAGTAGTCATGGAAAAACTGTCGTATGTCTTCTTTCTTTCTACAAATGACTAAATAAACAGATATAGAAAAATGCGGTGTGTGTGATTTCTTTTTCTTTTCCGTGAAGTTCGTGTGTAGAATATTTTTCATTGTTACCTAATCAGTAAAATAGCTCAAGACAAAGAAGTCTTCTTTTACCCGCTAAATCATCAAAGAACTCGTCAGAGAAAAACTAAGCGCGCCTCTTTTCTCCTCTTTCTCTCTTCACTGTGTATTGTATCTTGCGCTGTCACCTAACTAATTAGGTAGCTAACGAAGATAAGCATCGTTTATTTTCCAAAAGTTGTTATTGCATTCATTAGCTAATAAACGTAGATTGTCTTCTTATTTATTAGCTAATAAACGTAGATTGTCTTCTTATTCCTTCTTTCTTCTTTTAGCGTCTGTTCTATGTATCTTTCATTGCTACCTACCCAACACAATCGCTAACGACTGCTTCCTTCCAGTAAGTCGCCGGAGAAATCCTGAAAAAGACATCAATCCTCACTTTCTTCTCAGTTTTCCTTTTTTTCTGCCTTGAAGTGAGGAGATTGGAAAACGCGGGCGCGCGCAAGCGGCTGGCTTCTTACCAGCCTGCTGCTGCTGCCGCTGCTGCTGCTGCTGCCGCTGCTGCTGCTGCTGCCGCTGCTGCTGCTGCTGCCGCTGCTGCTGCTGCTGCCGCTGCTGCTGCTGCTGCCGCTGCTGCTGCTGCTGCTGCCGCTGCTGCTGCTGCTGCCGCTGCTGCTGCTGCTGCCGCTGCTGCTGCTGCTGCCGCTGCTGCTGCTGCTGCTGCGCTGTTGGCGGCGCGCGCACACAAGCACACGACACGATACGCGATTTCGCACGCGGCTCGCGCTGTCGATGCAACAAATTCACCCTGAGTTATATAAACAAGCAAGTTTTCTTTTCTCTTTGTCGTCTATCTTTCTTGAAACAACTACTTGCTCGTTCCGTACGTCTCAACACGTTATTTCTGAGTTGCATAAACGACCACACATTCTTTTCTCTTTATTGTATCTCTTGGGAGAATTCCTCTCTTGTCGTTCCGTAAGTTTGCAACAAATTCTCTCGGAGTTATGTAAACAGTCAAGTTTTCTTTTCTCTTTATTGTCTATCTTTCTTTAGATTACTAATATCTCGCTCCGTGAGTCTCAACACTTTGTCTCTAACTTGTAGAAAGAACCACGTTTTCTTTTCTTTTCTTTTCTTCTTCTTGTCTATCTTTCTTTAGATTACTGATATCTCGTTCCGTGAGACTTAACACATTGTCTTCAAGTTGTATACACAACCATGTTTTCTTTTTTTTTTGTCGTATATCTTTCTTTAGATTACTAATACCTCGTTCCGTGAGTCTTAACACATTTTCTTTAAGTTGTAGACACAGCCAAGTCTTCTTTTCTTTTTATGGTCTATCTTTCTTGAGAATGCTAATTTCTCGTTCCATAAGTCTCAACACATTGTCTCTAAGTTGTATAAACAACCAAGTTTTCTTCTCTTTCTGCCGTATATATTTTTCTTGAGAGTACTAATTTCTCGTTCCAACACACTGTCTTCAAGTTGTATAAACAACCATGTTTTCCTCTCTTTTTATTGTCTATCTATCTTGAAAATCCTAATCTATCGTTCCGTAAGTCTCAACACATTGTCTTTAAGTTGTATAAACAACCATGTTTTTTTTCTTTTTGTCGGATATTTTCCTTGAGAATCCTAATTTCTCGTTCCATAAGTCTCAGCACATTGTCTTTGAGTTGTATGAACAACCATGTTTTCTTTTCTTTTTGCCGTATATCTTTCTTGAGAATACTACTTTCTCGTTCCATAAGTCTTAACACATTGTCTTTTAGTTGTATAAACAACCATGTTTTCTTTTCTTTTTGTCGGATATCTTTCTTGAGAATCCTAATTTCTCGTTTTGTAAGTCTCAACACAATATCTCTAAGTTGTATAAGCGACCGATTTTCCTTTTCTTCTTTTCGTCTTTAAGTTGTCTAAACGACCAAGTTTTCTTTTCTTTTTGTCTTCTATCTTTCTTGAGAACACGACTTTCTTGTTCCACAAGTCTTAACACAATATCTCTAAGTTGTATAAAGGACCAATTTTCCTTTTCTTCTTTTCGTCTCTAAGTTGTCTGAACGACCAAGTTTTCTTTTCTTTTTGTCGGATATCTTTCTTGAGAATACTACTTTCTCGTTCCACAAGTTTTAACACATTATCTCTGAGTTGTATAAACGACTAAGCTTTCTTTTCTTCTTCCTGTCTCTCTTTCCTCAGAGAATTACTCTAAGTTGCATGGACGACCAAGTTTTCTTTTTGTCGTCTATCTTTCTTGAGACCAGCTTTTTTTTTCTTTTTCTCGTCTATCTTTCTCTTGCGAAAAGTAATTACTCCGCGTTCCATAAGTTGCAACAAATAATCATCATTGAGTTGTCTAAACGTGGACCCAACTTTCTTTTCTTCTTCTTCTTCTTCTTCTTCTTGTCTCTCTTTCTTGCGAAAATCACTCTAAGTGGTATGAACGACCAAGTTTTCTTTCCTTTTTCTCGTCTATCTTCCTTGAGAAAATTGATTACTCAACGTTCCGCAAGTTGCAACAACTAATCATCCTTGAGTTGTCTAAACGTGGACCCAATTTTCTTTTCTTCTTCTTCTTCTTCTTCCTCTTCTTCTTCTTCTTCTGTCTCTCTTTCTTGCGAAAATCACTCTAAGTGGCATGAGCGACGAGTTATCTGAACTTGGACCCGATTTTCTTTTCTTCTTCTTCTTCTTCTTCTTTTGTGGAATGACCGTCTGTCTTTCGTGAGGAAACGACTTGCTCGTTCCACGAGTCGAAATTTCTTCTTTCCTCACCACTTCCTTTCTTGTGAAAAAGTAGGAAATTTCGCTGAGCAAAAGATAACGAAAAGTCACGAATGCATCAATGACGCATTATTCGTTTGTTTCTGCTGTAGATTTCACGTTGGTCTGGAAATAAGCTCTGTCTTGTGTATCACTATATATGTATATACACATATATATATATATACGTATATATATATTATATATATATACATAAATGTGTATGTAGACTTATATATGTGTATACATGAATTTGTACATCACTCTTTGTGTTGTGTATCACTATATATGTATATACATATATATATATATATATATACATAAATGTGTATGTAGACACACATATGTGTATACATGAATTTGTACATAACTCTCTGTGTTGTGCATCACTGTATATATATGTATATACACATATATATATATATATATATATATATGTATATACATAAATGTGTATGTAGACACATATATGTGTATACATGAATTTGTGCATAACTCTCTGTGTTGTGTATCCCTCTATATGTATACACACATATATATACATATATATGTATATATGTATATATACATAATGTGTATGTAGACATATATATATATATATATATATATATGTATATATGTATATATATATATATATATATGTGTACATAATGTGTATGTAGACACGTACATGTGTATACATGAATTTGTTTAAATATACCGTTATTGTGAGTGAATGAAGAGCCTTCATGACAAATAAAGAAGAAAAGACATGAATGTATGAATCACTTATGGGCGTCTTTATCTGCTTCATTGGACTCGTTCCCATTAGATTTAACGTGGGGGTGTACATAAGTCTCTGTGTTGTGTACGAATATACATGTATATATATGTATATATGTGTACATATATGTATACACATACACATATATACATATACATATATATATAAATATGCATATGCATATACATATATATACATATACATATATATACATAGACATATACATATATATACATATATATACATAAGTATACATATATATACGTATACATATACATATATATACACACACACATATACGTCTATATACATAAGTATACATGTATATATATATATATATACATATATATATACATAAATGTCCTCGATTATATCCTTGTTGTGAGTCATCGAAAAGCTGAATGAAAGAAGCAGTAATTCATAGATTGTTTGTTTCTGCTTTATTAGACTCGCTCCTCCCAGCAGGTTTCACATATGTGTGAGTACCTAGGTCTGCGTGTTATGTACGTATATATATATATATATGTACATGTATATATATGTATACATATATATATATATATATATATTTTTTTAATGTATTTATTTATGTACAGCTATGTCTTCAGTCATCTGTTTGCTCTAGGAAATGAGAAGGAATTTACGACAAACGAAAAAGAGAAAGCCGCAAATGAACAAGTAAAGAGAATGCTCGTTTCTGCTTCATTGCGCCCGCTCCCACTTATATATACACGTCTACCAATATATATATATATGTATATATATATATTATATGTATATATATATATTATATGTATATATGTACTTATATATCTTTGTACATATATATATATGCGCATCTGTGATCTCTGCTGTTTGCTTTGATTCTCCTAGTCAATGAACGAGTAAAGAGAATGTTCGCCTGTGGGTGATTACGCCCGATCCCACCTATATATACACCCCTACCCATATACACGTGTATATATATATATACATGTGCACTAACATATCTACGTATATATATATATATATATATATATTTATATATATATATATATATATATATATATATATTTATATATATATATATATATATATATGTAGAGGTGCATCTGCGGTCTGTGATCTCTGCTGTTTGTTTTGATGAAGGCGAGTAAAGAGAATGTTCGCCTGTGCTTGATTACGCCCGATCCCACCTATATATACACCCCTACCCGTATACATGTATATATATATATATACATGTGCACTAACATATCTACGTATATATATATACATATATATATATATATATGTAGAGGTGCATTTGCGGTCTGTGATCTCTGCTGTTGATGTTGATGAACGAGTAAAGAGAACGTTTGCCTGTGCTTGATTACGCCCGATCCCAGTTATATATATACCCCCTACCCATATACGTGTATATATATATATACATGTGCACTAACATATCTACATATATATATACATGTGCACTAACATATCTACGTATATATATATATATATATATATATATATATATATATATATGTAGAGATGCATTTGCGGTCTGTGATCTCTGCTGTTTGTTTTGATTCTTCTAGCAAGAATTCAGCCTCGCGTAGGCTGCCCGCCCTATTAAGTTGCTGCTGTGTCTTCTTTCTTTGTAGCCCCTCGTGAAACTTGTACAGAAGGGTGTAGATATAGATATAAATATATATATATATATAAACATATCTATATATGTATATATAAATATATCTATATATCTATCTATCTATATATATATATATAAATATATCTCTCTCTGTATATATAAATATATCTCTCTCTCTATATAGATATATATACAAGCATAGGGCACAGCATCGGTCTAGCCAGGCACGCATGGATATATCGCTGTCATTCATCCGTCAAGGCTTCTGCATGCGTACGTGCACGTGAACATACATATATATATATACATATATATATATACGTATATATATATATATACATATATATATATATATGATTTCTATCCACACACTATACATATATATTAATATGTATATATATATATATATATATATATACGGGTCGAAGATGTATAACCATTCGTGTCTGGCTAGACCCCTGCTGCGCCATACCTAGTACGTTGCTGCTGTGTCTTTCGTTGAGGCTTTTGCCTGCGTATGTCTACATGTATATACATATGTATATACATATATATATATATATGCATATATATATATATATATATATATATTCATATATATTGATATATATGTCGAAAGTATATACTATTCGTCTCTCGCCAGACCGCCTAGAAATATCTCGTCTTCTGTGTATCCTTGTATGGTGGTGTTGTGTCTTTTGTTGAGGCTTTTGCATGCATATGTCTACATGTATATACATATGTAGCCAGCTATCTAACTCTCCCCACAGATTTGGAAGTAGCGAGCTATCCAGCTATTTCCACATAATTCTAGTCTGTAGCTATCTAGCTCTCCCCACAGATTTGTAAGTAGCTAGCTATCTAGCTATTTCCACATAATTGTAGTCTCTAGCTCTCCCAACAGACTTGTAGGTAGCTAGCTATCTAGCTATTTCCACATAATTGTAGTCTCTAGCTCTCCCCACAGATTTGAAAGCTGCTGGGCAGCTCGCTATCCCCACAGATTTGAAAGCAGCTAGCTGTCTAGCTAGCTACACATAATTGTAGTCTCGAGCCATCTACCTCTCCCCACAGATTTGTATTCAGCTCTCCCCACAAATTCGTAAGAAGTAGCTAGCTATCTAACTCTCCCCACAGATTTGTAAGTAGCTAGCTATCTAACTCTCCCCACAGATTCGTAAGTAGCTAGCTATCTAACTCTCCCCACAGATTTGTAAGTAGCTAGCTATCTAACTCTCCCCACAGATTTGTAAGTAGCTAGCTATCTCACAGATTTGTAAGTAGCTAGCTATCTAGCTCTCCCCACAGATTCGTAAGTAGCTAGCTATCTAGCTCTCCCCACAGATTTGTAAGTAGCTAGCTATCTAGCCCTCCCCACAGATTTGTAAGTAGCTAGCTATCTAGCTCTCCCCACAGATTTGGAAGCAGCTAGCTCTCTAGCTAGCTACACGTAATTGTAGTCTCGAGCTGTCTTCCTCTCCCCACAGATTTGTATTTAGCTGTCCCCACAGATTTGGAAGTTGCTAGGTAACTAGCTCTCCCCACAGATTTAGAAGTAGCGAGCTACTTAGCTCTCCCCACAGATTTGTATTTGGCTCTCCCCACAGATTTAAAAGTTTTACTAGCTATCGAGCTCTCCCCACAGATTTGAAAGTAGCTAGCTATCCAGCTATTTCCACATAATTGTAGTCTGTAGCTACCTAGCTCTCCCCACAGATTTGGAAGTAGCGAGCTATCCAGCTCTCCCCACAGATTTGGAAGTAGCTAGCTATCCAGCTATTTCCACATAATTGTAGTCTGTAGCTATCTAGCTCTCCCCACAGATTCGTACGTAGCTAGCTATCTAGCTCTCCCCACAGATTCGTAGCTAGCTAGCTAGCTATCTAGCAGTCCCCACAGATTTGTAAGTAGCTAGCTAGCTGCCTGTCCCCACAGATTCGTAGGCAGGTAGCTGTCCAGCTCTCCCCACAGATTCGTAGCTAGCTAGCTATCTAGCAATCTCCACACATTTGTAAGTGGCTAGCTAGCTATCTAGCAGACCCCACAGATTTGTAAGTAGCTAGCTAGCTACCTGTCCCCACAGATTCGTAGGCAGCTAGCTATCTAGCTCTCCCCACAGATTCGTACGTAGCTAGCTATTTAGCAATCCCCACAGATTTATAAGTAGCTAGCTAGCTGGATTAAGTCAGACACACATAGAAGCCTCGTCTTCTGTGGACGATGTCTTTGTCCTCGATGTTTGCTGTTCCTGCTCTGGGAGTAGCACCAGCAGCAACTGCAGCAGCAGCAACAGCAGCAGCAAGAGCAGCAGCAGCAGCAACAGCAGCAGCAGACAAAATGGAGAGACACGTGGCTGCTGCTGCTGCTCCTGCTGCAGCTGCTGCTGCGCCTTCTGCTGGGGGTAGCGGCAGCAGCAGCAGCAGCAGCCAATCGAAGAAGAAGCATCACGCACATCACCATCATCATCGTCATCATCGCCACCTCCCAGCGGCTGCTGCTGCTGCTGCAGGCGGAAATTTCATCGATGCTGCGTGTGTAGGAGGCCTACCAGAAGGCAAAGGCTGCCCCTCTTTTCCTGCTGAGAGTTCTCTTCATCCTTCTTTATTTGATTCTGCTGCTGCTGCTGCTGGTGGGGGGAAAGGCTTCCCCGTTGTGTCTGCTGATACCTCTTTTCCTCCTTCTTTACTCGATTCTGCTGCTGCTGCTGCTGCTGGTGCTGATGCCTCTTTCCTCCTCCTTATTTCGATTCTGCTGCTGCTGCTGCTGCTGCCAGGAAAGGCTTCCCCCCTATGGCTGCTGATGATTCTTTTCCTCCTGCTTTATTCGATTCTGCTGCTGCTGCTGCTGGTGGTGGTAAGTCTGTTTCTCCTTCTCTATTCAATTCGGCTGCTGCTGCTGGTGGTAGTAGTAGTGAGCAGAGTTGCTGTTCTTCTACTACTTCTACTTGTCCTCCTACTTGTGTTGCTATGCCTTTCGGAGGAACGGACAGGCCTGCTGCATGCTACGCCGGGGCTGCTGCTGCTGCTGCTCCTGCTGCTCCTGCTGCTGCTGCTGCTTTTGTAGCTGCTGCTCCTCCTCCTGCTGCCGCAGCTCCTGCTGCTCGTGCTGCTGCATGCAACGCTGCTGCTGCTGCTCCTGCTGGTGCATGCAACTCTGCTGCTGCGGCTCCTGCTGCTGCTGCTGCTGCATACAAAGCCGCTGCTGCTCCTCCTGCGGCTGCTGCTGCTCCTCCTGCGGCTGCTGCTGCTCCTCCTGCGGCTGCTGCTGCTCCTGCTGCGG